AACCTTTTTTAATTTCTATCATTCAACACGGTAACTTGTACCCTGGTGGTCGCGCCTTCGGCACCGCGTACTGATCGTACGCATTAGTTCGAGTCACGTTCACTATTTTCGTGTGACCAAGCGCCTCACGTGTGAGCATTGACCAATCACATGTATACCTGATGGCAGTGCCGGGGAATCCGCGGTTGGTTCTTAATGAATTAGTGAACTATTGCTTATGCGTACGGCTTATGTCAGGCGAAATGGCACTGTTAATACAATTTTCTAATGAATCGTTTGAAAACTACTGTATCGGTCCCTAATGAGTTTGATCATTGTTTCTGTTTGAATGTACAGTAATTGCTTTTCCATGAGATTGAATCTCACAGTTCGACCTCGAAAGCAAGGGTATTTTTTTTTATTTATTACACACCATTGCGTGATGAACAGATAATCTACTGTTCAATGACGGGAACCAGGAACCTAAGTCCGGGACTTGGAGTGGTGAACCGCATACGACCCCGATAGGTTATGCGTGGTTGCACGTCTGTGAAACAAGTTTAGCCCCCTTGAGCAGTGCGTGAGATGGAATATGACTGAGGGCAGAAGAAGAAGAAAAGATTATTTGGTAAGAGTCTTCGCAGTGTACAGGAATTCGCGTTGCACTGTGTTGCACTTGAGTGTAAAACCAATTCATGCGGTTAGACAAGATTGATCTGAAAGTATGGCAGTGTTGTACTACTCCGGTATTCGTCAACCAACGTGACCGGATTGGACTGTACACAAAATACATATGTCCAATTTCGAACTGCACACAGCTGAACAAGAATAATTGGGCAGTAAGAAATGAGGCGGCTAGAAAGTTATTCGGCTTGCAAATTAACGTTTCGTGCGTTCATCACACATTTAAGAACCCTGTGTACAGTGGTGTTTCATCCATATTGGAACACAGCAGCACATTCATACCCAGCTAATCCGCACTGGAATTCAACCGCTCACCCAGACTGACTGCCTAGCCAACTTCGGCGGTCAACTTCGCACGTAAAGCAAATTAAATGTGAACTGAAAATCTAGGAAGCACTGTATAGTTGTTTCGACCTGGTGGGGTTTAATCAGCATTCGGAATCCATCTACCCAACTGGGGATCGAACTCGGGACCTCGCAGGCAGAACACGAGCTGGCTGATCGAATCTTATCAACACCGCCATACTTATCCCTTTTCTTAATGTTTGATCGCTACTCTGTTCTCGATAATTATTAAAACTACTCTTACGGATGGTGATCAAAGAACCCTAACATTGTAATATAATAATAATAAAATAATATTATTGTAATTGTATTGTATTGTATTGAAATGAGGAATGGAACGTGTTACAAATCGACAAATTTCATCCTTAAACTTCATTCGTAATATAGCGAAAATGTGTGCCAATATCACAAATCACTCGAAAAGTAG